GTGTGCACGTATGTGGTTTGGAGAAAGGGTGTTTATTATTTATCTATCTCATTCTATTACAATCTAAAATTCATACAAGGGATCACATTAACACATTAACACCATGTTATTTCAATCTCGTCTCTGAACTGGTTGAAGCCATAACATGATATAATTGTATGATGTAGACTAGATTCCTTGTGACACTGTGGGCCTGTTTCCTCATCTGAAAAAGGAGACATGCAGATAATCCTCAAGGTTCCTTCAGGCAGTCTATGTGACTCACTGCCAGGGCAGGCTTGGCCTTACTAAGGTCATAAAGATCAATCTAATCTCTCAACAGGGCTGTTTCCATGGAATATGAGATAGGAACAAGCTGGCAATATATTAATTACAGCTGTATCTCTAAAACAAACTCGTTGCAAAACTTTACTTCTATCACTACCAAAATGAGTCAGTTTCCCAGTAAATGTGTTGACTGCAATATGCTATTAATGTGGAAACATATCCTGTTGCCTCATTTAGTATCTACAAAGATACCACTGTCAAAGCCATAAATTTATAGTGAATATTCCTTTTTCATATCCATGGATGTGACTTCATTTCCTGGCTTAATGGATAATTCCTTGGAAGACTTATAGTGATTTTTAAATAAGCAGAATTTTTCACTTAGACCTGATGGGTGATTTCCTTTTCTAGGTGGCTAGTGGGGGCGGGGGATATGAGAAAACCTTTAATAAATAATCCAGAGAGTGTGGCACAGAAAAACTTCTTGCCAATACTGGGCCCTTGTCTGAATCAGAAGATTCAGTACCTTTCTAACTGTACCAACTTGAAAAAAAGTAAGGTTTCCAGTTGGCGACAAGAAATCAAAGGAAATGAAATCTGAGATGCAAGGAATGCATTTGTAGGATAAACAAGTACTTTGTTACCATTTACCTCAGGCTGGTAGAAATAGTGGCCTTTGAGCACAAGCTTGCTGAAGGAGCCAGCCCAGCCCTATTCTCAAGGTCCTAGGCTTCAAACAAAGGGCAGAGGACATTTTCACTCCTGTTATCTTTCCCTACAGCAAACATTGTATTTTTATGCACGTTGCATGATGAAAGGCAAGGTGACCGCCAGTGCACCTGGCCAAGGAAAAGCATGCCAGGGCCAGGACGTGGATTCCTAAGTATTTACAATGGATCCATTCGACCTGACTGCAAATTGCTACAAAGCTGAGAGGCTCCCCAAATCTAAGTAATGTAAGCCTCACCATACATACAGAATTTACTAGCATCTGACTAGAAATACTCAATTTGCCAATACTTCAAACTCATTCTTCCTCTCCCTCAAGGTCCCCTGTCTTGTTATACCTTTTCTTATTCTATCCAGGACTCAGGAAAAGTAGCTGTTGTTTGGCCTCGGGAAGCTGGAGAGCAGAAGTATCAGAAACTACATATTTGGGAATGAGGTGATAAATGTGGCGGTGGGCATACTGGACTAGGAATCAAACTCTTCCACCAGCTGAGGGACTTTAAGGGCACAGATAAATTATTCATCCACTTAAACAATAATAAAAGCAAAATCTCCAAAGCCTGACTATTCTGTTCCCCTCAAGGACTTGGTGAGGATTAAATGAGAGAATTCATGTGATCAAAGTTTTGTTAGGAGCAATGGTAACAATATTATTTATAAGCATAATAGGTACAAGTGGTAAGGAGAAGCTGTTTCATGATAGTGAAAGCAAACTATGGGTGGTTATGAAACCAGATTAGGAAAGGTCTGAGAGTTAAATAGAGAAATTAGGATTTGTTCAGTAGACAACACAAGGATACTGATATTTTCAAGGATGGCATCATATGGTGAATGCTTTTCTCTAAAACCAGTAATGAGGGCAATAAGATCAATGAAAAGGACTGGAGTGTGGAGTGGAGGCTTGCTAGGAAGCCAGTGCAATGATGAGAAGGCCTGGAAACAATGTAAGGATGGCAATGGAAAGCAATCAAACAAAACATGTTTCTTTCCCTAAAAAAAGAGGCAGCACTTTACTAATTTTTTTTTCTAATTATAAATGTTCAAAGAAGAAAACTCAGAAAATAAAAATAGTACAGAGAAAATCAAAAGCCACCTGTTACCACCATTCATATCTTGACTGATTTCCCCCCAGTCTCATAGAAAACATTTCAAGGTTGGATGCTGTGGCTCACACCTGTACTCCCAGCATTTTGGGAGGCTGAGGTGGGTGGACAGCTTGAGCACAAGATCTTGAGAGCAGCTTAGGCAACATGGCTAGAGACCCTGTCTACACACACACACAGAGACCAAAAAATTGCCAGGCGTGGTGGTCCATGCCTGTAGTCCCAGCTACTCAGAAGGCTTAGCTGGGAGGATCACTTGAGCCCAGTGGTCAAGGCTGCAATGAGCCATGATTGTGCCACTGCACTCCAGCCTGGGTGATGAAGTTAAACCCCTTCTCAAAACAAAACAAAACAAAACACATTTCACATTTCAAAGAGCTTGGAGACTGACTGGCCAACCAGGAGGCATTCAATAAATATGCAAGGATGGATTGAATTCAAAGCTTTGATACTGAGAATACAGAGTTGTTATTACAGAGACAGAAATGTAACCAAACCAGAGACACGGGCTTAGGGGAGTAGGAGGTTATCCAGCACAAGGATGCAGCAGGCAGAAATGGAATAGGTTGGTCTCCTGATAAGGGGGGCAGCCCAGGCAAAGCAGAGCTTCTGTTTGGCCACCCCTTATCCTGACAACCAAATTCAAGAGGGCCAGAGGCTGCAGTGAGGATGGTGGTGGCTTCCTGATGAGTCAGTACTCGGGGTGACAGAAAACAAAGGCTCCAGCGGGCCCGGAATAGAGCCTAGTTTACTTTGCAGCAGGGACCATCACTGAACCTTACCTTTAACCCAAGTCACAATACACACACATATGTTTATATATCCCTATATATGAACACGTGTGTGTGCTTCACTAGAACTGAAAAAGTAACTGAGACTTGACTAAAGGTGAAAAATGATTAGGACCTGTAATCCCAGCACTTTGGGAGGTGGATTGCTTGAGATCAGGAGTTCGAGCCCAGCCTGGCCAACATGGTGAAGCCCTGTCTCTATAAAAAATTAGCCAGGCATGGTGGCAGGTGCCCTGTAATCCCAGCTACTCAGGAGGCTGAGGCATGAGAATCGCTTGAACCAGGGAGGCAGAGGTTGCAGCGAGCCGAGATCACGCATTGCACTCCAGCCTTGGCGACAGAGTGAGACTCTGTCTCAAAAAAAAAAAAAAAAAAAAACCCAAAAGATTAGGAAATAACTCATGTTTATGGCAAGTTGTTTTATAATTGGATTTTAAAAAATCAAAATGAATCTAGATTGCTTGTGGCCATTAATATTCATTGTATGAAAGTTACTTGTGTCTACATTTTGATGATTGATTGGATTGATCATCTATCTGCATTTTGGAAGGTTTGGGTATGAGGAAGAAAAGATATTTATTTCTCCACATGTATTTTACATTTACAGCTAATTTGCCATAATTGTGGCAAAATAATTCAAACAGTATATCCCACTTTACATACGTGAACTTATTATGTGTGCATCCGGTAAATGTGTTCAACTAACTATTAAATAAATACTCAAACTGCTTTAAACACCTAAATATTCACAGTGTTTTGCCCAGGAAGCCTTCTATAGTTTCATCCTAGTCTGTGGTCAAAGACTTCAGATACAACCCAGTTAGCTCTACAGCTAGTTCTATTTTGTAAAGCTCAGCCATTGTTAATAGAATTAGAATGGATCGAGAAACCCTACATAAGAAAAACAGCTCTTAGCACTTGAAAAAATAAATAAATAAATAAGAACACCGTGAATAATGTGATACTGAAAGTATCTTACTCCTTCAATACTGATAGCATTACAATTAGAACAACTTTTGAAGAAAGGCCACAAAAAAGGTTTGTATTCTTTTGTCTGGCAATCACACGCCTGAGAATTAATCCTATAAAGAAAACTTCAAAGATAAAAGCTAAATGATAAGGATGTTCATTGTAGCACTATTTACGTAATAAAAATTAGAGGCCAGGTGTGGTGGCTCACGCCTACAATCCGAGCACTTTGGGAGGCTGAGGCAGGTGGATCACCTGAGGTCAGGAGTTTGAGACCAGCCTGGACAACCTGGTGAAACCCCGTCTCTACTAAAAATACAAAAATTAGCCGGGCGTGGTGGTGGGCACCTGCAATCCCAGCTACTCGGGAGGCTGAGGCAGGAGAATCACTTGAACCCGGGAGGTGGAGGTTGCAGTGAGCAGAGATCGCACCACTGCACTCCAGCCTGTGTGACAGAGCGAGACTCCATCTCAAAAAAGAAAAAAAAAAAACAGAGAAAAAAAAATTAGAGCAATGTGAATGACTATCAGTGGAGTGCTCAGGCATTTGGGAAGAAGAGGGTGTTTCTGGGGCACTGACTATGACAGAGAAAAAGCAATGGGACAGGATAGGAAATAGAATGGACAAGAGTGTGTTCAGTTAGTGATGGACATTAGCAGAGTACACACTTCTAGACTTTGGAATAATAGGGGAATGTCAAAGCTACAAAGGACATTTTTTTAAAAAGGATAGCTGTGCTAACAATTTACCAACATCCATTGAAAGGGGGCTATAATGACAGAATTAGAGAAAGGACTCAGAGACGAAGAGACTCGCCTACAAAGGCCATTTTCTTATATACATAGGATTTCTGTGGCTAGAGACTTATTTCCTCCCTTGCTGAACTTCTTCCCTTCCAGCACCTCAGTAACTGTGGGGTCCCTGCTGCAGATGGAGATTTCTTTTCCTTCCTCAGCACTGTCTTCTTTCCCAAAACCTAGAGTTCCAGAAGCTGCTTACTATAGAGGTTCCAAATATCCCAAATCCCACACCTACTGCTTACTGAAGAGCTAATATGAGAAACTGAAGCTCTGTGGGTTTTTAAATTAATTTCTAAAATATGAACGAATACATATGTTACCTAGAAGGTGAAAAACTTACAAATTGGAAGCAGCTCCGGACACTTGGCTCAATGTTACTGCCCCCAAAGGATGCAACTTCACCCAATTGTCTTGGAATTTGGATAGAATCATGCAGCAGGAGACCCAGCCTGCGCTGGTCACAAAATCCTGTTGAACTTGACACTTGCTTGAAAAGGTCTACAAAGGAAGAAGAAAATTGCAACAGTCAAAACACAGCACCCATGGATGCCAGCAGAAACTGACGTCCAACTCAATTCCAGTAGCAATTCTCAAGAATATTTCCACAGAGTGGGGTTACTTCTAATTTGTGCTAATCTGGACATTTATTATTTTTATGAATCAAGTTAATGATCACTGTATATATATGAAGTGTGATAACTTTTACATAAACTATGTCACTGCAAGAAGCACAAGCTTACATGTACCCTTGACACTTAAATTTCTTCTAAGTCAGAACACAATCCTTGGGAATTATTATATATAGGATGTAACTACATCAAAAAATAAGTGTTTTAGCATTAAGAGACATATAACTGGCCCAAAACACCACCCTCTTTGGATACCAGAGATTCAAAAATGTACCACAATTGGGACTTCTTTATGGAGTCATAAGATCACTGAGCTTCTAGTCCATCATGTGTGTGTTCCCACAGGATACTGTGCATAGTTTGTTGTTGTTGTTGTTGTTGATGTTTGCAATGGAGTCTTGCTGTGTCACCCAGGCTGGAGTGCAGTGGCGCAATCTCTGCTCACCGTAACCTCTGCCTCCTGGGTTCAAGCCATTCTCCTGCCTCAGCCTCCTGAGTAGCTGGGATTACAGGCACATGCCATCACGCCCAGCTAATTTTTGTATTTTTAGTAGAGACGGGGTTTCACCATGTTGGCCAGGCCGGGGTTTCACCATGATGGCCAGGCTGGTCTTGAACTCCTGACCTCAAGTGATTCACCTACCTCGGCCTCCCTAAGTGCTGGAATTACAGGCGTGAGCTACTGCGCCTGGCTGCATATTTCTAATTAATAGTTCATATCACGTTATGCTGGCATTGATTTAATATGTGTCTATCTTTTTTGGCAGGAGAATTATATCCCCTTGAGGGAAGGAACCATATCTTGGTCAGTTGTGTGCCAGAAGTATCTAGAGTAGACTAGCAGTACCCGGTGGAGAGTAGGTGCCCAATATATGTAACAGAATGAATGAACATACCAAATGCTTGCAATGTTATGTTTTGTTCTCAGATATAAAAATTTAATCATACCTTATATTCACCTAGAAGTTGCCCCTTCAAAAAAGTAAATCCAAGAAAGCTTTCTGTACCCATAAGCACACTTTAAACTCTAGGAAATTAAATGCTTTAACAAGATACCTAAGATGACATTAAAAATTGAGATTGTACGAACAGCTTTTTATCTTCTCTCCGATACACATACCTAGATGTTTATGTTCAAAGTTATGAGCTATTTTCAAACATCTCATTTTGAATTTAATATTTTTGTTTCACCAACCTAAAACCATGTTCCTTCTTAGTAGTTATTTGAAACACCAGCTCAAAGCTTCCTCAATTATTCACTTTAATATTATATTTACAATGTGCTGTTACTATACCATATATACAGTAGATTAAAACCTAATCTATAATAAGTAACTACAATGTTTAAAGGAGAAAAGCACACAGATATCCCATCTTATCCAAAATACATTTTAGCACGGTTAATAAAAGCTGTTCAGTTATTTTTCTTTGGTTCTCAGGATGAGAAAACTCAAGCGGACACTACATAAAAGTGAGAGTCAAAATGGTTTGTGTATTTTGTGGCTTACTCCTGAAGGAGAAATGATCAGAAGGACACAGAGTGGCTTTTATCTCCTGCCTGTCCTGAAGCTCAGCACATCTCCTCACATGTGTGGCTAGGCCATAGGGGAAGAGAGAAAAGACCAGCTAGGCCGGGTTTGTTTAATATTCCTACTGGAAAGATTGCTTATAAGTATTTCAAGGCGAAAACCAAGTGCAGCCTTTCACAATAGGAATGGATGGTCACTTGGTCATCTGAACCATCACTCCTCTAGCATTTGCTTTTAATTTGGTTTTAAAATTTTTAAGCAGAAGAACCCAATGCATAATCAAAAGGAAATTCTGTAGGGTGGTACGTATCTACCCTTTAAGAAACAGCAAGCTATCTGTCTCCCAAATAATAAAATGTTAGTCATGTCACGGAATTGGATGTATCAGTACAACTTGCAGTAAGATGATTATAAAATAAACAATGTTTCTTGAACATGAATGTCACATAGTATTCTTTAAATAAGAATCCAAAGACTAGACAAGTGCAGGGATTCAATCTTCACACTTATTTTTCTGACTTATAGAAAGAGGTTAGAAAATCAGACTTTATCCCCTAGAAACATGTGTTTTATTCAGACACAGTCAGTGTAATGTAAAATAATACTTGGACTGGAAACGCTAATCCTCATTCTCTATTTAAATGCCTGCAATTTAATGTTTGACAAGGAATGGCACAAACCAAATTTTATGACACTCTAAAAGCAGTTCTACATCTTACATGAGGAACCTGCTGTCAAATAAGAACAGTCTGTCATGTCCCATCTAGAACTAGGGTAATTAGCCAACATTAATAAAAGAATACAGCGTTAGTATACACGACTTACATCTGTACTTGTCTTCCAAATGTGCTTTACACAGGGAAATGATGCCAGTTTTAAAAGACAGGACACGGATCCTCCCTGTTCGTCCCCTATTATGAAGAATCAAACCAGAAAACAATTACTGACACTTTCCTAGAGGGTAAACACTTCTACTTAAGCATAAAGCCTTGAAAAGGAAAAATAAAAGAGTAAAGTGGTGTGAACTCTATTGACCGCTGTTTTATTAAGATTGTTTTGAACTTTTCCAAATTTATTACCTTTTTGACTGATGACCTACAATACAATGGAAATTCAACCAACTTGACCACTGAATGTTTACCAAGTTTCAATTCCTAAAAACTCGTATTTGAACTGCAAAAGTTCTACATAAATTAAGAAAAAAAATTCTATTCACCTATATGGAAAGCCACCTTGGTTTAAGTTGGTAAGCAGAAGAATTACCACTCTTCACCAATCTACTTTGGTTATTAAAGCAAATTACCCACTTTGGTCACTGAAGCCAAAAAAATTACCGGCAACTAACTGCTCTGCCCTCTTAAATGCTTAGATCTTCATCAGACTGCCCCTTACTGAAAGAAAATTAATCACTTCAGGCCACATAACACATAATATAAAATATAAATGCTTATCTCTATGAGAAAAATATGATACTCTATTAAACAGCATTCAAATACATGATCTAAAAAATAAATTTATAAATAACCTGTTGCTATATCAATGTTTTAATATAGATTGCTTTTATTTCACTTTGCATATAGAAAACTGAAATAAAGCATTCCACATAACAAATTTATTAATAAGCTAATTTTATCCATGGGGAAAAAAAGGAAAAATAAGAATGAAAAGTTTTCCATTTTGTAGAAAATGTCTTTCAAGACATGGAATCAATGTAAATGCCTATCAATTACAAATTAGATAAAGAAAATATGGTACATATACATCATGGAATACTATGCAGCTATAAAAAAGAATGAGATCATGTCTTTTGAACATGGATTAACTGGAGGCTATTATCCTTAGCAAACTAATGCAAAAACAAAAGAGTAAACACTGCATGTTCTCACTTATAAGTGGAAGCTTAATGATGAGAACTCACGAACACAAAGAAGGGAACAACAGACACTGGGGTCTTGAGGGTGGAGGGTGGGAGGAGGGAGAGGAGCAGAAAAGACAACTATTGGGTACTGCAGTTAACCCGTTTATGCTGGAGGTTGCAAATTATTTTTTGTGAAAATCAGACCTTGACAATGACCTTGAGCAGTAGGATATGAGTAATTCCCACAAAAGCTTAGTGTTCCAGTAATGGAACACTAGGCATAAATAGGTTAATACCTGAGTGATGAAATAATCTGTACAACAAACCCCTGTGACACGAGTTTACCTATGTAACAGATCTTCACATGTACCCCAAAACCTAAAATTAAAGTTAAAAAATGTCTTTCAATAGTTTTTTGGCTTCTTATTTTATTACGGAAAGCTACTGGCCCTTAGATATCAGTAAAAAGAAAAAGGAGAAAACATTTTCAAATAATTTGCTCATTAGCACTTCAAAATCACAAATGATAGTTCCAACTGCGGTTATTTTCGGTGAACAATATGCTCAACTTTCAACTATTAAAATTTATTAAATCCCTCAGTCAAAAAGAAATCCTGGGCACTAATGGACTAACAAAATTCCTATCATTGGAAAATTTTCTTATCTTTTTTCCTCTTAAGAAAAGGTTGTTCAAAATTTAACAAATCCACTTTATACAGCAACTTCAAGGAGTTAAAATTGTCACCAAATAATTTCCAGGCAGGTAGAATGGAGTTATATATTCAGAATGCATTCACATGTCATCTGCAAAGAAAACAGTGCCAAAATATATTTGAGGAGAAACCCGAATACAAACTCTTATCAAAACTAATGTTAATGTAGTTCACAATTGAAATCCGACATGTTCAAGGACTTGGTAGATAACTAAGATGAATGTAATAGTCAGGTGGTCCTGAAATTTTAAAAAGCAATACCTTATCAAAATAAGAAAGAAAAAAAGCTATAAATTTTAGTTAAAAAGGTGGTAGAAGTCTACAACAAAGGTAAAAGGCAAAATAGTTGTTATGCAACTCTTTTCAGAAAACCTTCCCAGATTTCCAAATGGGAATATGTTCTTGATTGGTGAAATGAGGTATGTAATAATTTTGAGGTCTGAGAAGAATTTAGGCAACATTAAAACCAATTCCTTCTGCTCCCTTCTTCAATTGTCTTCATTAAGCTCAAGAAAAAAAAAAAAATCAGAACTGGGGATATCTCCCATGTGCAATCCAAAATAAACAAATAATTGTTCTCTAAGAGAGAGTGATGAATGGAGGCACCAAACTGAAACTTCATAAAATCTTATTAAAAAACAAAATAAAACCAAAAATGTTCTCAGTTTGAGGAGTTAAGTTTGCTGTATTAAGGGCTTGTTTTCATTTTGTTTGGCCTATCAATTCATAATCTTCTGCAAGTCTCCTAAGTATCAGCTAAGACAATTCTGATCTGGAGACAGGTGTGCCAGTATCTCCAGGAGCACAGCCATGGCCGCCAGTGAGAGAGAGCCACCCCTGAAGTGCATGGAAGAATTCCAAAATCCATGGGTGAGAAAGGGAAAGAACCAAGGGCTATATGTTGACTTATTCCACTATTTGAAGAATGAGTATCTCAGGGTTTTGATTGTTTTCGAATCTGAGAGCAATCTACGTTCTGGCTCTTAACTCCTAGTTTATTAAAATATTTTTCAAGTCATAAATGCAAAAATGATTTATCACAGGAACAGCATTAGGTCCACAGCTTCTGAGGCCCTGTTGTAATGCTAATTACACTGTCACCATTCTGTAAGCTAAGCCTCCTATGACAGAGCCCGGGAAACAAAAACTAGCCATACGTACGTATCATAAACATTCAGCAGCCAGTTCAGACACATATCCACGCAGAGAGGGACGTTGACCAAATTGTTGTGCTCTTGCTCCAGACGGTCATAAATAGTGGTCAAACAATTAATAATCTGCAGGATATCCATGGGCTGGTCATTTTGCTTGAGGTTGTGCTGGTCCAAGGCATCACATGCAGCTGACAGGCTCAAGAGATCCACTGCAAAAACAAATAAAATCACAAATGATTCAGAGAGTATAACCTTCCTTTCGGTGTCCTTTTTCCTTTGAGAATCCTAGCTAGGACCCTCTCATACCCTTTAATAAACACCAAACTTGAACCACACTCTCTTTGAAAGGTGTTTTATTTTTATCCCTCAACTCTAAGTTGATGAGTTTCATCAGTATTCAGGATCTGAAGTTGTTCTTAAATCTCACTGGCATTGGGTGCAGGTACGGGCAAAGACATAATTCCCATGCTTGGATTACTGGGGAATATCTGAGAGTTAAGGGGGCCTATCCTGTTCTACATAAACAGAGTCAATTTTCACCTGAATAAGAAAAAAAAAATGTTTTAGCAGAAATGTTTGAAGAGATCCAATAATACTTTCTTGTATTGGTATTAGAGAAAATCTGTTAGATTAATCTGTATGGCTAAGGTTGTGTAAACTCTATTTCTAGCTATGCATTTATAATCATTAAGCACTTTTCTCCTTGAAATATCAGTCACCTCAGCATCTCTCTGCTACCCTAATATTAGGTGAAAAAAATACTCTCCACTAAAATTTTCTATAGGCAAACTAAAGTAATTGTATAATCTATCCAGTTTTCAGACCTGAGGCTCACTTATTTCTCCTTTCACCTTCAAATTGTATTTTATAATATGCTTTCCAAGTCCTCTAAGAACTTTATAAGACTGAGGGAGGAAAATTCCCTTGATCTGAGGAGGTATTTAATCTTATGCCAGGGACAAAAATTTAACGAAAGTGAAACTTCAACCTTGTCCAACATCAGCAAATCACAAGCTTTATTCCCAAGTGTCATGAAAAGATTCATTTCTCTAAAGCCAATTTATTAGCCAAACTAGAAACACAACAACATTGCTTTTATACCACCTTATACACCTAAGCTCTGGTTGAAATTCTCAGTCCTTTGAGACTAGGAATCCATGCTAATTAAGTAAATCTCTCATGCATCTAGGGGGAAGGGGCAATTCAATTATAAAAGTAGTTCACATAAATACAGGTAAATCCCACTCAGTAAACAGCTTTCCCAGTAATAAAGAAATGCAAACTTAAGGCTTTAGTGTATTTTACAAGTTATTCGTGGCCAGTTCTAATTAAATATTAAGAAAGAAACAAAAATAGTGGTTAATACCTATGTAGGTTTGTGCAAAAATACTTTTGCACCTATATTGCACACATTTTTCTCTTTAAAAAAAAAGGAAAACAGAAAATCCTGGAGTTTCCCCAGAAGCATGAAGCAGACATGGCGGTGGAAGCAGGAGTCTGCACTCCTCCCTTGGAAGGGAAGGCCCCTCTGTTTTTGCTCTGAAATACTCTAAAGATCGAGAAATGACCCTTTTCATGGAAGCTGAGACTTTGTTTAAAGTGGGAGGAAGGAAGATAACTTGGGAGACTGACCTGAGGAGTCAAGTGAGAAAAATAATAAAGAATTTTAAAAAGCAATGCAAGGAGGCAGGAGGGCGGGAGGACGTGAGGAGGGAATGGCTGAAAGCGGACTGCATGGGAGGCTGGAGAGAGGTTCAGAGACAAAAGACTCAAACTTTTATTCTGTCTTCTGTGTGCCTGTTTTCCTCAGAGGGCGTATACTCAAGTGCACGTAGTAGGAACACTTAGAAACACAGTATACCTGCTCCATTACTGGAAGAGAGGAATGGATTTCTTCCAAACACCAATATTCCCAACATGTTTCCTTCTATACTGAAGGAAGCTATGGGTGGTTGGAAGTTTTTCGATTATTTTCTTTTTTGTTACTCTGCTTTAGTCATCATTAAGTATTTTGCCTCTGATCCAGGCATTTAAGAAGTAACTAGTGAGAATTTTTAGAATCGCTTTTGTATTAAGAGTCTTATTTATCCGTGTGATGGAAACGAACAAAGAGAAAAACTGCATGAATTTCATTTTATTGGGCCTGCTCTTATCTCTGTACAGGTGAATGGGTAACACACAGAAGAGCAATTGTTGAGTATAAATAGCTCTAGAGGGGAGCAAAGCAATTGCTCTGAAATTACAGGAGCAGAAGATGACACAGTTAGGAGAGAAATACTGTGCAGTGTGCTCTGCTAAAACTGGATGTGGTTAAACACAAGAACAATCCATCATAGAAGACTGAAGAGCACATTTCCCTAAACAAACATGTCAAACAGAATTCAACTTTCATGGAATTATTTTGAAAAGAATTCTATTTAGGTATACACAATCCATGCTATGGACCTGAAAAGGAAGTGAGAATATCAATAGGGACAATTTAATTGCCATGCATATGCTTTTCCAAATGAACAGCTTAGAGAACGCACCTAGACTTTTTGATGAAACATTAAATGTAATGATTAGCTGTTTTTAGGACCCTCAATAAACAACCAGCAGATACAGTTGTGTGAAACCATTTTTTTCCTTAAGCTAGGAATTTCCATTAAATATTATGTGTGTGTGTGTGTGTGTGTGTGTGTGTGTATTCACTAGTAGATACACCTTCAAAGCTTTATAAAAACCCAAGTATTCTAATACATCCTCACTTTCTAAATTATGTTTACAGTAGAGGATGCTATAGGCTTTGAAGCCATTGAAGAATAGGGACCATGTGGTGGTACCCTACGCATGAGGGCTATGGGGGTGAGAGAGGGTGGGGACAGGATAAAAATTGCTGACTCTCCAGGATCCTCTTTGCTGTGCAGAAAAAGCAGACAGTGGTGGTTGGGGGGTGGCGAGCAGGCAGGACTTCAGCACAGGGATCCCACTAATGGTTCCTGAGGCTCTGGTTGTGCCTGATCATCTTCTCAACCTTCTAGCTTCAAAAGCTAATTCTTTTCCTTTCTATGTATGCCACAGTAGCTAACTCTTGCTATTCCTTTCTATGTAAGACAGATTTTTTTTGTGTGTCTTTTACAGAGTGATAGACTCTTAGAGCCAGAAGGTTGCTTTAAAATCATTTTGCAGTTGAGACAACTGAGACCAGAGATATGGAGACTCGCTCTGGGTGTTATGGCAGGTTATCTAGGTTTTCTGATTTCTCATGGAGGTACATATTGTAAGAGGGAAAAGTGGGTGGCAGAAGATGACCTTACTGACTTTACAGAAAAGGAAAACCATTCTGCATTCCATGCTAATGACAACAGTAGGATAAAACAGAAGCACCAAAAAGTTGGTTAGTGGAAAAAAAAAATGTCTCATGGTGCCTATATAACCCCCAAGTTCATTCTGTAGGTCAACCTGGATATTCTATGTTGATGTATAAATAATTCTGTGATCTAATTAGCACAGAAACAGAAAGAGGTGAGTAATGGTAGAAAAACTGCTGCATGTTTGCTGATTTTTCTTGCCCAGGCATGCCATTCTACAGGCAACTTGCACTTATGGCTGAAGGACCTCCCAAGCAAATCTTTGCACTTCAAGAAAGTCAATGCACTTTGATGTAGTTGTCTGTGCAGTAAGGGTTAATTCCAGAGAGGCTGGAGTTGGCACGAGAGGCCTTGCTAAAATATCTACACAGTGCAGAGCCCTGGTCAAAGCACTTTCTTTTCAAAATGACTTACTGTGTTGAAGTGTAGCCACGGGTTGCAGGTTATCACCATTGTTTATTGCTAACAATAACACTGACCATTTTTACCTGGGCACAGTGAGACCAATGGAAGCCAGTGAGTTTGAGGCTGGTTACATAGGAACAGTACGCCTAGGTTACTGGCAGGACATAAGAAAGCCTGGCTGAAACTCCAATTTGTGCCCCCTGGTTTCCAAGGTGTTTTGTGCTCACATCAGTAGCTCTTGTTCCAAGAGAGAAAATGCATCTTGGTGTGGCTTTGTAGACAGAGGGCAATTATAGCTTGTACCTGTCCTCTCTGGACCCTATGCTGTGAGGCAGCCTGTGGCTGTGACACTTATTCTGGTTTTAATGTTGTAGGTATATTGCATCCTTTTTCTGCAAAGAACTCTAGATTTGTAAGCACTGTCATTTGGGTCCTGTGAGTCCTCTTTAGCAATTGAACCCTGTCTAACTGCCACTGTCAGGGCAGTGAGTGTCAGAAGCAAGATTGTTTAAGACACCTCCAACTCATTCTTAGCTAAAAGTATTACTAAGGCATTATTTAGAAAGAAAAAAAAGATGATTATGATAAAAGGGATGAAAAAGAACCTTTGAAGTTGCTCAACAAGCTACCCTTGGTTGGAAGTAACACAGGCTTTGAAATTGGTTACTGATGATATAACTTTCTAGGGGAATCTGGAAGTGAGAGAACTTGAACCTAAGAACTTGAACAAAATGGATTAGGAGGCAATTGCAAACTGATGGCAAGACTGCTAAAAAGAATCCAATTCCTTGGTTGGGTTAGCAAAAGCTAATGTAAGTTCAGAATTTCTTTCCATTGGGCTTCACCCTCTCTGGCCTGCAGGTGGAGTCCCAACCATAAAACCAAAGCAACTATCAGTTTTGATAAATGGGCTACACCTGTGAGGCCAATGACAATTAAAAAGATAATTCAAATTGGGCACTTACAGGTATTCCCTATGTCACTACAGTTTTCTTTTTTGATGCCAGACCTAGTAGTCCCTGAACTGGGGCTACAATTAAGAGTTTCAAAGACTGGTAATATTCCAAAATAAGATACTATGGCTATTAGTTGGTACTTAAGCACAAGAATTCCGCAAGGATCAATGGAATGGATTGCTCCTTCCCTGTCCCTTGCCTAATTGAAGCTGTCACACAAATGTTTTGTCACCTAGTGGACAGGCTAGCACCATTTCTTTATATGGAGTTATAATCCCCATCATAAGTTGAAAATATCTTAAGTCACAAATGCATTTAATACACCTAACCAACTGAAACTCATGGCTTAGCCCAGCCTACCTTCAATGTGCTCCCAACACTTACATCAGCCTACAGTTGGGCAAAATGATCTAGCAACACAGTACACAGTAAAGTGTCAGTTGTTTAGCCTCATGATCTTGTGGCTGACTGGGAGCTGAGGTTCAGTGCTGCTGCCCA